CTGGGTCCTTTCCAGGGATGGGGGGCTGGAGGGGTCAAACTCCCCCCTGGCCCAGCACCAGCCTCAGCAGCCCAGAGCCAGGTCCCCCCCAGCATCTGCCCCACAGTTGTGTATCTGACACAGCCACTCACACACAGTCAGCCCCAGATCCAGGCAGCCTCTGTGGGGCCTCCACCCCTCACCTGACCCAGGCAGAACCTCTGGGCCCCTTTCATGCTCCCACCCCCCAAATATTGTGCTCTCCTCCGAGTTCCCTCTGCCATCCCCAGCTTCACACACACACAAATACACACACACACATACACAGAGTTTCTTTCTCCAGCCCCCAAGAGCCGCAGAGGCGCTTGGGCTTCGCTTCCCCAGCCTGAAGCTTTGGGCTCCTCCGAAGCGGAACTGAGGACCTGGCCAGGATCCAGCAGGCAACAAGCCTCCATTCTCCCTCAGGGACTCCCCTCCTCCTCCTCCTCCGCCCCATGGCTGAGTCTGCAGGTGGGGCAGCCACAAGGTCCTCTGCCCCATTGGAGGAGGCTGAAGGGGCCCTTCCTGACCCCCGAGGAGACCCTGGAGAGCCCAGGAAAGAAACCGATGGAGGGTTGGAGAAATGTCACTCAAAGGACCCACATTCTCCCCCTTGGGACCCTTTGTGGGGAGACCCTCCCTGCTCTCTGGGGAGGCTCTGACGGAGGAAGGAAGGGAGGGAAGAGAGGAAAAGGGGGACCAGCATGGAGGGGGAGGGACTCAGTTGCAGTTGGGGGAGAGGACACTGTTCAGAGGACCTGGAGGAGGGGGATGGGGAGGGGTCTCCCCAGAGAAAGTCTATCCATGGGTGGCTAAACATCGACACCAACTTGAAGGCACGAAACCATCATGAAACAAGCTTTTCTCCCTCCGTTGAAGCAGATTGAAGAAAGTCCTTGATTTACATCGGTTCATTTAGTGACCATTTGACTTTGGGGTTGGGTGGCTTCCAATATACCCCCATGGCTCCATCCTTCTTTTCCCCCTTTTATATTATCTGAAATGCATGGAAGGTTTTCGTCTTTCTTCTGTTGCTTTTCTAGAGCGGTTTGGTTATTTCTTACCTATCCTGCAATTTCACCTCCTCTTTTTTTAGGTCTGTTTCTTATTTGTTTATTTATTTATTTCATAAACCGCAAAGAAAAACAGAAATAGGAAATCAGGGGAAGGAGAAAAAGAGGGGAAAAGAAAGTCTGAGGTTCAAGGGGCAAAAAGGAAAAAAGGCTTTGACTTCCGGCTCTTTTCAGCACAGTAGAAGATTTTTTAAAAAAACAACTTTTTGCTTTTACACCTTAATATGTCAGCAGCCATTTCTAGAAGGACAATTCAATCTAACGGACAAAAGCAAAGTCATTTTAGGTCCGTTTCCTTTGAACACTTTAAATGTGTTCAATTTAACAGCTGGGGAAGGAAAGTCTAGAATGATCCAGAACACCCCTTTGTGGCTGAGGGAGGGAGGGAGGGAGGGAGGGCTCCCGCCTGAGGGAATCTGCCCTCTGATTGGTTGCTGAGGGTGGAAAGGGGGCGTTTCCCTTTTTTCCCGCCTTTTTCTTCTAGGCGCCTTTGAGAAGGGGACAGATAATAATATGGAATAAGATGAAGTAAAAATTTGTATAAATAGTAAACAATAAGGAAGGATCACTACGAAAGAGCTGTAAAAAGAGTTTGTATATATAAATGTTGTATGTTTTGTTTTAATGTTTCATAATAAAAATTATTTTTTTAAAAAGAAAAGAGCGCTGAGCTGTGGAGAGCGGGAAACTCCAGAGCGGAAGGAGGCTGAGGAGCGGCAGGGCCGGGATCGGAGTCAGCCGGGGGGAAAGGGAGGGAGGTGTGTGGTGCCGCTTCCCCCTACAAGCGCAGCGTCCGCCTGCCCGTCTCTCGGCGAGGAAGCTTCCCAGCCGATCGCTTCGAAGTAGCCGAGCCGTTCCCGTGGAAGAGAAGCAGGCGGCTCCTGGGCTCATGATTGGCGGCCTCTGCATGGAGCTTTCGGCCGCCTCTCCCCAGAGCTCCTAGGCATAGCAGCTGCCTGCTCCTCCCTCTCCGCCTCCCACCCGCCCTCAGCCCCGCCCCAAAGTTTGGGAAGCACCGGGGACAGTTTGTGCGCTGTGCTCGGGGCAGGAAAGCTCATGGCGAGCAGGCCAGCTGGCTCCTTCCCCAGAGAAGGGAGGGCGGCATGCAGCGGAAGTGCTCTCGGCCCCAACAGGGAAGCTCCGAATGCGCGGCTTGCTTGGGCTCCTCTCTGCTGGGAGCTGCAGGCTGCACGGGGAACGGTAGGAGCGACCGGCCAGCTCAGGCGCACGGGGGAGCATTTGCTGGCTGGGCAGAGGCTGCCCCGCCCGCTGTTCCTTCCCTGGTGTTGCCTTGAGCTCTGGACAGCATCCAGCATGGCCATTCACGCCGGCAAAGGTTGGTGCAACCCTCTCTTGCCACTTCTTCCAAGGGAGCATGACTGCTTTCCAGCCGGTGTGCCTCTTACCGCTTACCGCACTCTCCTCCGGTCTTCCTGGAGGCAGCTCGCTTCTCCTTCTCCTGGCTGAGAGGGGTGAGAGGGCACGCCGGAACCCAGAAGAAGAAAAGGAGCAGAGCTGCCTGCTAGGCTGGGGCTTCCCTTCCTCTCTGCGGCAGCCCATGTGGATCCCAGGCAGTGCAGCTTCGGGGCCTTTCCTCACAGTGTCGATGACAAGGTAGGCAGGCAGGCGAGCGGGTACAGGGGAGCGACTGGGGCAGTGATCCTGGCTGGCAAAGGGGTGGATGTCCTGGGGAACGTATGTGCACCGGCCAGCTAGTCTTCTGTTTACTGGCACGCATGCGTGCGCGACAATCAGGACGATGCACATGCGTGTGCCAGAAACCCAGAAGAGGAATGGGTGTGCCCTGCATGCCAGGTGAAATGGCTCTGCGTGCCACCAGTTCTGACTTCGGACCCAAAGTAGCCAGGATGGTGGATCCAGAGGCAGCGGAGGGAGGAGCCTCCTGCGGGGGCAGCAAAGAGGAAGAGGAGGAAGAGGAAGGGAGGATTCCAGGGTTTTCTTACATCTGAAGTTTATTATTTTATAGCAAAGCGAAGGGAAGGGAAGTGAGTGGGAGGAAGAATAATGTGGATGAAGCTGCTGGGGGTTCAAAGCCTGGAGAGTTGAGGGGTCTGGAGTGACAGGTCCACCTAGCATCCCTGGGGACAGTCTAGATGGTCTCCACCCCTCCCTCAGAAGAAAGGGAGGCCCTGAAAGGAAGCTGGGGTGTGTGTGTGTCTCAGCAGGAGAAGGTCCAGGCTGCCATTCTCCTCCTCCCCCCAACCTGCCACCTTCAGCCTCCATTTCTCACAGGTTGCAAAGAGGACAAAGAGTCTTCAGCTGTTAAATAAGAAAAATGCTTTTGCATCGGAGAGCAGGATTAATTCATGAGTGCTGTAGAAAAAGAGATGGGGAAGAAAATCAGAATATAAAGAGACACTTTTACTGTAAATAATATATTCTTCTTTCCTTTCATCCCCCACCCCCAAGGCAGACCCACACTGCAGGGGGGTGGTTGACAGGCAGGGACACAGAGAGAGAATCCGCCCATTTCAGGGAGGAAAAGGCTGGGATGCTTCATATGAAGAAAGAAGACGGGGCTACGATGGGGGTGGCAGCAAAGGGGGGAGCCTGGGCTCACTTGGCCAGAAATTGTGGTAATTCTCACATGGAGAAGGGGGGTCAGGAAGAAGAGCCTGTCCAGGTTCCAACTAATGAACCCAAAGGAGTCTGTATGGGGAGCCAAGAAGGATCCTCTCAGACCGGAGGGTGGGGTGCAGTTCAGGGCGAAGTTTTGGAGGGAGTTCATTAAGTTGATAGTTTCATCTCAAGGACTCAGCTCCACCTCCCACCCGAGGACGAACGGAGGTATAGAACGAGCGAATGCAATGATAGAACAATACCTGAGATGCTATGATAATTATCAGCAATTTAGCTGGGCAGATCTCCTGCCATTTGCTGAAGTGGCCTACAATATCGCAGTGCATAGTAGCACGGGATTCACCCCTTCTAAAATAGCCACAGGGTGGAATTTGTCCCCATGCCTGAATACCCTCGGGAACCTCCCTCCACAGTGACCCTAACAGAATGGGTGGGGTGCTTACAAAATCCGTGGGGGAATCTAAACCTGGGGTGCTCCCTCCCCAAGGGAGGAATGGGAAGGAATGCCCCCCACCTTCCCTTCCCTTTTGCAATTTCCACAAACTTGGAAAAAATTTGGGCAAGATTTTAGCATTTGGGTGTGTTTTGTTTTTGATTGCAGTACTTTTTCAGAGTTCTGTAAGGAAAAGCTGCCAAAAATCAAAAATCTGCTGTATCTACAGCAAGGAGATATTGTCCAGGCATGTTTTTTTTAAGGAACAATTAAGGAAATTTAAAAACCTCCAATAACTTGTAGGAGGGGTTGAGATAAGGGGGAAGAGGAGAAACTCACCTGCAGGAGGTTGGATGGGAATTGCTGGAAAGTGAAAAAGACTCAATCAGAAACCTTTATGGGCTGGAGGACTGGTGGGGTGTCCCTATCCCCTTTGATAGCCCATAATAGTTTGCAGGATCTTCACTTAATAACCGCTTGAGGAACAGAAGTTCCCACAAATATTCCTCCAGGGGCCCCTCCTGGCCACCTGCTAAGCTTGATGAGAGGCCTCCCCTAGAGGGTCCCCTCCCCACCACCTCTCCTCCAGCCCCCCAGACTCACCTTTCTTGCTCTTCAGGTAGGAGAAGAGCCCCACAGCCAGGAAGGCCACTCCTATCACGGCCCCCATGATCCCCGTCCAGAGTTTGCTCCTGGCAGAGCTGGAGGAACGGCTCTGGGGAAGGAGAAGGAGCCTCACCTGAGCAGGAGGATCAGGCCCACCTTCCCCCAGGAGGGTCCATTCCGTCTCCCCCCACAAGGAGGGTCTCTCCCCCTTCTCAGGGCAGGGTGGGGTCCCCAGAGCAGGAGTGGAGGGAGGGGAGGGAGGAGCTTACCCCACTGGACGGTGATGGGGGCCTCCAGGCTGGCATGCCCCACCTTGCAAGTGTAGACATCCCCCCGTTGGGGCTGGGTCTCCAGCATCACCTGGAGCTGGTAGGTCCAGTCTCCGTTCTGGAGCTCCTCCCCAAAGGCCACGCCCTCCTCCTCCGGCTGCCCGTTCTTCAGCCACTGGACCTCGATCTCCATGGGGTAAAAGCCGGTCGCGGTGCAGAGGAGGATGGTGTTGGGGGAAGAGGGCTCCATCTTGGTGGGGGAGATGGAGACGGTGGGCTTGGCTGGAGGGAAGGAGGTGAAGGAGGCACATGAGAGACACAACAGGGCCCAGAATGGAAGACCAAGTTGGTTAGTTCAGGCCAAGATCCCTTTTCACTCCTGAAAATATACTGTGTTTTAAGTCATCTTCTAAAGTAAATTGCAGCAAGAAATTAAAAGGGATCCTGAAAGAGGGAAAAACGTTAAATCCTTCCTGATTGGGACCAATTACAGTCTCCAAAAAGAATTCCCCAAATAGGCATGTCTGACAGGGATAAATGCTGGAAAAGCCCAGAGGTGGAAGGAACCTTCTGCCAGATGTGGTGGACATGGAAATAAATAACGCAGAAAACAGGAAGGACAGACGCAGCACGAGTCGGATGATTCATGGGATCTCGTTGAAAATGAAACCACACTTTTAATTAGGTGTAATACCACAACATTTATTTGTTTGTTTGCTTAGTAAACTTAGTTATTTATTAAATTTATTTGCCAAAGTGGTCACAACTAACCCAAAGTCTTACAGACACTCTCCTAGCCATGACTGCCACCTGCTCTCCGGGAGTCCAGGAGAATCTCCAGAATTGCCAACTGGGTCTCTGGGACAATGCAGCTCCACCCAGAAGGAAGTTGGTTAAAGTCCCCCATCTTGGGGCTCCCAACACCCAAAGCCCTTTGGCCTTTCCAGGGTTCAGCCGAAGCCCCTAATCCCCCACTCAGCCCCTCCCCCCACAGCCTCCGGGACCCTCGAGGGGGCAGCCTCAGCATCTCCTGGGTCCCCAGAGGTGGAGATGAAACCTTATCACATCAGCAGACGGAGGAGACCTCCAGCCCTGGTGACGGATGGCCTCACCCAGCGGCTTCATGCGGAGGTTATAGAGGAGAGGAGAGAGGACGGAGCCAAACGCTTCTGAGCAGCCCTGAAGGTGATCAAGCAAGTTTGCCAAAGAAAGAAAGAAAGAGAAAGAGAAAGAGAAAGAGAAAGAGAAAGAGAAAAGAGGAGAGAGAGGAGAGGAGAGGAGAGGAGAGGAGAGGAGAGGAGAGAAGAGAAGAGAAGAGAAGAGAAGAGAAGAGAAGAGAAGAGAAATAAGAGAAGGGAAGGGAAGGGAAGGGAAGGGAAGAGAAGAGAAGAGAAGAGAAGAGAAGAGAAGAGAAGAGAAGAGAAGAGAAGAGAAGAGAAGAGAAGAGAAGAGAAGAGAAGAGAAGAGAAGATCTTTGTCCCAATTTTCTTCGGTGTTTCAATCACTTTTCAAAAAGTTTTATTTGGAGAGAGAAAATTTCTCCTTCCACTTTCCCTTTTCTCCCTTTAGGATCCACGAGATACACAAAAAATCAGCAGATTTCAGGGGGAAAAATACAAAATGTGATGTGGCTGCAAACCCCCCAATTTTAGGCAGCCTCAACAGAAAGAGGCATTTTGAAGGAAAGGGCAAAGGAGCCCAATGGGGGGGCAGCCCTTTGCTCCCCATAACTGCCAGAATCCCCTGAAGGAAAAGTTTCTCCCCCACTGAAGATGAGAGACCCTGAATCCCCCCTTCAGAGCAGGAAGGACAGAAGAGGTTTTGGGGGATCTCATGATCTCTCTCGAGGATCCTTCCTGGGGGGGCTTTGGGGGGATTCAGAGGGAGACCCACCCCAGACCAGGCTCTGCCTCCACCCAGCCGGCCTCCTTCCCAGCCGCAGGAACCGGCCATTCCTGGGGAAGGAGGTGGGGAGGGGTCCCTCTGACTCCCTCAGGGAAGCTTCTGCCCTGGATGAGGGGGGCAGGGAGTGGGGAAGGGATCCAGAGGGGATCTTGGATCTGGATCTCCTCCTTCAGCAAATGCTCCAACTGGCACAACTCTTGGATGGATTAATGGGGGGGGTTTAGTCTGGATGAGCCCCCCAAGAGAGTTGACAGTAGATCCATTCCAGCCCAGAGTCCTTTGCTAACCTTTTTTTTTCATTGAGTTTTTTTTAGTAACAGTAAATTCTATGATGCTTAAGAAGAACCCATTTTTAAATGGTTCTTTGTAATCCCAACCTGGGATCTGGTCAGGTTTCCACGCAGACAAATAGCAGCATTTCAGGTGTGAGTTGTTTTCTTTTCTCAGGAAAATCCCATTTGCCTCTTGGGACATTAAAGGCCGTTGTGGAATTGCTAAAAGAAGGCAGAGGCTTTACAAACTGAAAATGGCTTTTTTTAAAAAAAACAGGAAATGCAAATTTTGGATGAGAAAAAAAGTCTTTTAGCAAGAAAATGGAAGGATCAGATTTTAAAGCTTCAATTTGGTATTTTTCCATGTTTATTTTTATAGCCCATCCCAAACCTCCTTATTTACAAGACTGCCGTGTGAAGATTTTGGGGTTCCAATTTGGCCAGATGGGAGTTGCTGGATTTTAATTGGATCAGAAAAAGTTTTTTTTTTTCCTTTTAAATACCTACCAAGGGACACAACACAGCTGAATATTATTATCTCCATGAAAATATCCTCTTTGGTAGGAAAAACATTTCCAAATGCATCTTATGTGGCAGCTGAAAATCCTCCCAGGTTTGCAGGGAAGAATTTAGGAGTGAAAATGAGTTTTGCCTCCAGACTATGAATATGTGGAGAGCAAAATCTCTTTTGGTTCCCCTAAAACATTCAATGATTTCCGGAAGGAGCAAATGCTCCAAGAGGCTTTTCTCTCTTAGGATCTGGAGGTTTTCCTCTTATGGAAGAAAGATCTCATTAGATTCTATGGTGAGATGTTATTTTTGGAGAATCTCTGGAGTTAAACTTAACCAGTTCTTAAGTGATGATGCTTTCAAGACTTCTCTGATTCTAATAAAAGGACTATAATTTCCCTGGAAAGGCCGAATGGCAACAAGGGCAGCTAAAATCCTTGCTTGGCCTCTGAAACCCCATCAGTGGATAGAAATATAGAAGATTTTTATTAGACAAAGAAATAAAATGAGAAAAAGAAATGTAGGCAACATTGAAGGAATCTGGAAGAGAGAAGGAAAGAATCTGAGGCTTCAGGGCTGAATGGAGGCCCAATTTCTTTCTTATGACCCCAAATTCAGTTTTAAGGTTTGTGGGTGTTTTTGGATTCTCCCCCCCAAATCAGGAGCCTCCCCAGGAAGGAAGAACGGAAGCGATCAGGATTCCTGTTATTGGGGGTTTTACATCTCGGTTTAAGCATTGAATCATGATTACAAATTCTAGGCTGCTTCCGTTACTCATTTGTTTCCTTATTGGATTTAAAAGCTGCAGGACTGGAAATGACTCTGAATGAAGAAAGATGAAAAAAAAGCAGAAGATCCATAGAAAGGGGTCGACAGGTGAAAAAGAGTCCACCTATTCTTTTTTTTTTTATTTTAGGTAAAAAATAAGGTTTTATCCCAAAGTGCCCAAAAGCAGCATTTCTGGAGCAGAGGAAGAGAGGGAGGGGCTTCTGGGTGGGAAGAGGGAGGGAGACGGGAGGTTCCTGAATAGGATAGAAATGAATCAGGGATAGAGAGAAATATATATGTAGATACAGGGAGTCCTCGACTTAGGACCACAATTGGGCCCAAGATTTCTGTTGCTAAGTGAGACGTTTGTTCAATGAATGTTGCCCCATGTTACGACCTTTCTTGCCACAGTCATTAACTGAATCACTGCAGTTGTTAAATGAGTAGCAGGGTTGTTAAGTGAATCCAGCTTCCCACGGACTTTGCTTATCGGAAGGTCGCAAAAGGAGATCACGTGACTCCGGGACGCTGTGACTGTCACAAGTATAAGTCAGTTGCCAAGTATCTGGATTTGGATCACGTGACCCTGGGGAGGCTGCAACGGTCGTAAGTGTGAAAAAGGGTCATAAGTCATTTGTTTTCACTGCTGCTGTAACTTTCAACTAAACGAACTGTTGTTAAGTGGAGGACTGCCTGCATTGAGCAGGAGAGAGAGAGAGAGAGACAGAGAGAGAGAGAGAGAGAGAGACAGACAGACAGAGAGAGAGAGAGAGAGAGACAGAGAGACCTGGTTGGATTCCCCTCCCACCGGAAAAAAACAATATTTGGATGGATTTTCTTGTGGGGGGGGAAATGGATCGAAGGGATTCCAGATTCCAGGCAGGAGGAGAGTTTGGAGCCTGGGAAGAAGATTTTGTCCATCTGAGAGTGCAGAATAAATAAATAAATAAATGAGGAGCAAAACCTCCATCAGGGAGAATCGAAAGGAATGAAAGGAAATGAGGGGGGGGGGGTCCTGGCCTCCCCCTCCCAGGGAAGAGCCCCCCTCCCTCCCTCCCTCCCCCTCAGACTCACCTCTCCGGCCAATCGTGCGCTCCGCCTTGGGCGCCTGGTAGCTGCCCACCTTGTAGGCCCGTCGGCAGAAGGAATCCACTTGGGCCTTCTTGTACTGCAGGAGCTGCTCATCCCTGTTCCACCTGTCCACATCCCCCTTCCCAAACTCCGTGACGGCCACGAACTTCCCGAGGTCGCTGTCGAAGTGGGCGAACTCCTGCCGGTCGTAGATGTAGTGGTCCAGGAACCTCACCCGCTGCGTCCCGTTGAGGAAGCGGCACCCGTGCTTCCACTGGAGCAGGAAAAGGGCTGCGGGGAGGAAAAGGAAGAAAGCCGCTGGGAGAGGAGGGGGGGTCTACGCGGGAAGGGGGAGGGTGGCGGGGGACTTTCCTTGGAGGGACTGGCGGAAGACGCCCCCTGGAGGAGGGAACGGGAACTCTCTCAGTCCCAGAGAGGAAGGGAGGCTTCCTGGGGGGTCTGGAGGGGGGAGGGGAGGGAAGAGGGGGAGGGGTGGGAAAAGTCAGGCAGAAGTTCAACTGGTCGGCCAGATCTCCTCTCTGCAGGGAAGGTTGGATCCAAACAGTCAGGAATTGGGGGGGGGGGCTGGAGGGAAAGTAACGTCCATCTCCCCCATTCTCTCTTCCTTTGGGAGGGGATCTGGGGAGGGGGCACAATGAGGACATCTAGACCGACTCTCCCAGGGTCCCCCCTTTCTTCTTCCCCCATATCTTCAGCCCAGCTCCCTCCCTTTCAGGGACTCCTGATTCCTCTCCC